GACTGGTCTTGTCTCCGCCCCCTCCTGTAATAAAGACCGCTCACTGCTGCTCTCTCTGCTTGTGCAGGGTGACTGGTCTTGTCTCCGCCCCCTCCTGTAATAAAGACCGCTCACTGCTGCTCTCTCTGCTTGTGCAGGGTGACTGGTCTTGTCTCCGCCCCCTCCTGTAATAAAGACCGCTAACTGCTGATCTCTCTGCTTGTGCAGGGTGACTGGTCTTGTCTCCGCCCCCTCCTGTAATAAAGACTGCTAACTGCTGATCTCTCTCCTTGTGCAGGGTGACTGGTCTTGTCTCCGCCCCCTCCTGTAATAAAGACTGCTAACTGCTGATCTCTCTCCTTGTGCAGGGTGACTGGTCTTGTCTCCGCCCTCTCCTGTAGTTTTCTGTAGTGGGTGGTGCCTGCCTTGCCCCCTCCCACATCTCTCCTCCCCGCACAGGCTAATCCCGCCCAGTGACGATGTCACTGCTACTTTTACAAGGTGACATCTGAGTCCGCAAAGGCATTTGGTGCTCACAAAGCGGATTTATATTCCTTTGCGGCCATTGAGGAATAGATTTGAATGACGTTTCCGTGTCCGCCGCAACCCCGCCGCCGCCGCCGGTAGGGGAGAAAAATCAATCTTGCTTTTTCTGCGTTACGAGCGCTCGTCGGGGGAATTTACAAGTGTGGCGCTGGCAGGCCGGGGCTGTCCATTAAACACCTTATCTGAGGAATTTAATGCCTTTTTATTTTACGATCCTGTTTACTGCCAACTGCTTCTGTTTTACAATCATGCATATTTAAAACCGAACGGGTGTATTAATGTTTTATTTATCGCCGCCTTCAACAGCGCCTGTTATCCTCCGCTGTGCGTTTGCTGTAGCGAGCGCCGTGAGCGTAGACGAGCTGAATGGTGGAAGGTGGGGGGACGCTCCGCGGGGACTCTCCGCGTATGACACGTATGGTACGGGATACGACGACACCAACCATATGATGGCGCATTATAAACCACTCCCCCCCCCCCGTGGCAGGGGGGAAAAAATTGCCGCCTGGGGT